GTTGGACTACCGTGATTATTTATTTAGAACCTAAAAGATTATACCATTGATCTAAGACACGACATTAGTGGGAATACAGTATTTATAATTTATGCCTGTTTCTAAGCACTTTATGAGCCTCAGAACTGTTTTATTACCCAATATACTTTTTGTATTGATGCAATTAATTTTTCATAAAGGCAGTTAATACAAGAAAGTCTCATAACAACAAAAAGACCTAAAATCAAGTCATGGTGTTGTCTGATTGTTCCATAGTCTTTATACATTTACAGGCCTCTATTTACTGTATTTTCCACAAATGCTTAATCATAAAAATCTGGCATTATAAAAAGAGATTTAGACTTCATAGGAATAAACAAATAAAACCAGTCAGGCACAGGAAGATTTTCATTGACTTTTGAGACATTAGTGTTTGCTTTCTGTTTAGGATAAAGCAGCTGGAAATTTCTGCCTACACAATTTTGATAATCAGTTATTGATGAAAACATTTGTTTGTAAATGTTTCTATTCCCCAGGTTTGTATCTCCCTAGAGGAGTTTCAGTATCCCTGTCGACTGCTTCAGCACCTGTCTGTAGTCTTTATAGACTAGCCCACATTTATTCCTTTGTGTTTTTTTTTTTGTTTTTTGCTGTCTGTGGGAGAGCTTGTGCATATTTAAATGCAGCCGTGTGGGAGTACGTGGGTGTATGATTGAGAGAGGATTTCAAACTTGTGTTTCACAGAGGAAAGAATCAAACAGGCTACAAATACACACTTGATCAACTAGATCCATGCATGTTTGTGTGGGAATTACTTTACAGAACATCTGTAGAATAAATAGATTCAAACTTACTGCATGTTTCATACAAATCTTTTTTCTTTCTCTCTTTCATTAATGGAAATAAAGTTGAAGTTATGAAATTTGGTTTTCCAAAAGCCTGGGATAGATAGGTTTCAGCAGTTCATCAGTCTTTAAATGAGCCTGACATAAATGCTACAATGATTTCTTCACACCAGTGATCATAAATTGTAATCAGAGATAAGATTTAAAAATGTTAAGGTTTAAAAAAAAATCTGATATTTGATGAGAAGAGTCAATAGTACATAGAAAAAAAAATGAAAGTTTGAATTTATACAGTTCATTTATTTGTGTACAAATGTACCAAATGCAGTTTGCAATCCTGCTTTTTCAATTACTATATTGTATATTTTATTTATCTTAAGGCACCACAAATACACTACAAAATATATTTATATATATACATTCTTAGTGGACATCCTGTTAACTTTGTTGGCCTTGCAAGCAATCACACTTTTCCAATTGCTGTTCCACAAGCATGTTACTGCAGTTCAGGATTGTAAATGTAGTGATTGTGATGTCAGCAATCTATATAAATAATATATCAGTTTCATGAATACTACTACTAATAATTATATATATATATATATATATATATATATATATATATATATGCTACCAAACGTTTTGGTCATTTACCAATTTAGCAGACATTTCAAACAATGTCTATGTCAAATATTTATGTTGTAAAAGTGAGTATACAAATGTTTTGAATAAACAGTTTTGAGTGTGATGATGACTTACATGATGAAAAATGATTCAGAAGTTGTAAAATGTTTGACAATTTAAAGGTGCAGTAGGTTATTGTCTTCAGAAGCATTTTTTGTTGTGCTGGTTAAAAGTCTCTTTACAGTCTTATAGCAATGATTAAAGTAAATGATCTAAATGTGTTTATTTGTATTTTGTATTTTGGGTAAGGCATAAAACAAAAAAATGTTCATCCAATAAAATAGAGTTGGGCCGACATCTCACATAATTCCGATAAGTAGCCCACTCTGCCTGTCAGCAAATGCAGATTTGAACAACTACGCAGCCATTTGTATGCATTTCCGCCGACCGCCGAGCGTTCATGAGAGCACGCACGTGCAATGTTTTTTGTTTACCATGCAACTCTAAATAATCACTCTGAAATAGCATGTCAGTTTGGCAGTTTTGGCACTAGTTACTTTTAACAAACGAGAGAGGGTTCTTTTGCTGTGCTCGTGTTTAAGGAGGCGTGGCTCTAGACAGCAGGGGAGGGACTGTGATTCAGAGATTTATGCTAAGCTGTTAGCATTGAGTAAGATCACCTAATGCACCTTTAAATGAGAATTGACTCATCAGTTTTGATCAATAAGCCATATGCAATTAGTTTTGTTCAGACTGTACTTACACACATGCGCCAAAGCATTTGTAATTAGCTTCAATCAATAAGAAATGCCCCTCTGAAGTGAACAATAAGCTAATTGTTCAGAGATCTAAACAATCAAGAATTGAGCAAAAGCAATTAAGAAAAACTGTCAGTAAATATTGTGAAATGTATTCTATGAAACTTTGACAAAAATTATGAAAAATCAGATCATCAAATGATGTTCGCAGATAATTTTTACAATGAACACTGCAATAACAATTGTGACATTCAAGATCAGATAATTAACTGAATCTAAAACACTTTCATTTTTGATGTCAGCGTACTCGTGATAAAACCTTAATTAAAGATAAACATTCATTGTAAAATGATCAATTTACAAGCATATAGAGTTTCTGACATAATCTAATCTATGCATCAATTTATCTTAATTATAATACACTAAATTTATGAGTGTTTTTTTTAAATCCCTTTTAAGATATTCCACATGAGATATTTTAAGAGTGTTTGTTATAATATATATATATTTAGTATTGTCATGAACCAAACCAACCAGCTGCAAGTTAAATTTACAACATTGAAATCTGTAATTAGATTCATGTAATTAGTAAATGAAAATCAGATGAGTTACAAGATGAGACAGACCTATAGTACAATTCTACAGTACAAAGCTTTGTCAATTACACAAACTCACAAAAGTACTTTTAAGAGTACAGGGAGACTCAAGTACATTTTCTACAGTGCTTCATTGGACTGGATGGAGCTAAAGATCTCCTTTATCACTCTTTACTCACGGCAACTGCCAGATTGGTGGAATTCTGCACAGCATAATGGGTAATGCAGTTGGGTAAAACACACAAAATTATGTATATTTTGAATATAGAAATTAATTTTTGGACTGATTCTTTTATCACAGTCTTGGACATGTGAACAATTATTAACAACATTGGTTTTGATGCATTGTTAGATTTTCAGTTATTCTCTCTAATTTACTGTTGGTGGCTGTTTTTGCCACATTGACTTTCATTTTAACATATGATGGTGCAGAAATACACAGTTTTGTTTTTATTTACTCTATGTAGTTCTGAGAGCTGAGATGAATATTTAGATGTTCTCAAAATCTTTGGATTTTTGTACTTTCATTTCAAATAAACACAGATTTGTCTAAAATTGTGATGAGTAAAATTCAACGTTCCTGCAAGCCAGGATATAGTTTGCAGCTATACATAGCAAAAGGGAAGTAATTTTGCCCAGAGTGTATCGTGTATTGCCAGAGTGTTTTTTTTTTTATTTTGATGTATTTTCTTAAAATATGTGTCAAAAAAAGATTTGTCACCAAAAAATTGTTCAGCAAGCTGAAACAGAAAAAGTTATGGCCAAATTAATATTTCAGAGTGGATGAAAACCTCCCCAACAGTACATAAGGGTTAAAATAAGTTGACACAAAACAAATCTTGAGTTTTTTGTGACAACTTAATTGTTTTATTTTTAATCCACTTAAATCTAAAAAACTTAACTTAAATCAATCATGTTGTCCATTGATTGTGTAGAACGCAGTATTGTTTTACAGAGTACTTAAAAAACACATCATAAAAAATATGCAGAACAAAATCATGAATTTGGTTAGTTATAAAACAGTGAGATCTGAATGACATCATTAAACGGCTGTTCCATGACAAACCAACACCATTAGTAAATGACGACTAAAAATGATTATACATGATTTTTCTGCAGATGAAAGTGTTAAACCAAACATGGGTGAATAGAGCTTGAATAATTCCCATATTAGGCATGGCTCATGATGCTTGCATAAATAGATGTATTTTTTCCTCTGTGCTGAGGTAACAGACTATACACCTGTTGAACGGGAAGCCCCTAAAGCCGTTTCTGAATGACATCTGACTTTAGTGCTGCTCACCCAATAATAACACATTCTTATGACATCAGCAGACCCAAGCTTTATATAACCAAGGTGAACATTTCAGCATGAAAAGGCTTCATTCACATTTCTTTGTCAGAAGCCAATGTGAAATTCAAATCACCACCCACCCATCTCACACGTTCCAATAAAGGGCGAGTATAGATATTACAGAGGTTTATTAACAGGGTAATCTGCATAGTCAAGTCTCAGAGCCACTTTAATCCTATTCACGGGAGGAATATGGCAGTACAATGCAACAGGTTTTCACATGATTATTACCAAAGAAAATTGTAAGTGTAAATCTGATACACATTCGATGACATGAGCAAAAGACTATTTTTTCCAAGTTCAGTATTGCGCTGGATTTCCAAATGCGAGGGATAATTAGATCTATTTATGAATATTCAAATAATAAAAGCAGCGTTCCATATTTAAACTTTTTCTTCTTCATCTTTTTTGAATTACTCCATAACTTTAAATCATTTTGGATTCAACGTTACGTCATTTCAGTCAGCAGTACGGTAAAATCTGTGGAGGATTCTCACGCGTAACCAAAACATAACAAGGACACACATTTGCTTACCGTTAGCGTATAAAAGACATTTAAACAGAAACTTATATCGTTTTCATAATGTATGACTTGTAGATCTATTTTAAAGAGTTAAAATAGCATTAGTCAGAGTTAAATCCAATATACTCTCAAAGGAAAGCCCTAAAGCAGCGTAGTGTTGCTATGGTTACCACATCAGGCTAAACGGTCTTCTGTTCACGAGCGTTTGTTTGGTGCGTTTGACTGACTTACATTTTAAACTTTTGTCGTTCAGCAAACGTTGCAGGTGAACAACAAAACCCCTCACAATTTGTACAGGTGTGTTAGTAGCGCTGAACTCACCAGCTTGTCAAGTGCGTCTTTGCCAACAGTGGACACCTTGAGCGCAGGGACCCGTTCACATGTGCATCCCTCCAGAAGATAAATCCCTGATGGTCGAGCACTTTGGTCGGTGTCGAAGTAAAACAAAACATTCTGATAAAGTGCAAAAAACTTCTCGTGCCATTTGCTGTTTTCCGTGGTCTTCTTGCTGAGATAGCCTCGCTTGGTGCCCTCTTTACGCGCGATAACGGAGAGAAACAAAGCGTGTCCCTCATTGTACCGAACACTCTTCTGCATTTTCCGTCTTGGTTTAATGTATGTTCACTTGTTTGTCACCATATCACATGCGATTTTAACTTTCCACCTAGGCTGCTTGGAGAAATGCGCAGGAGAAAGTTGCCGAGGTGAAGCGCACCGCTCATACGCGACTCATCCAAACGAGTTCGGTGCCCAATCCATTCTGAGCGGGAAAAAAGTTTTAACCCCGATATATAACGCTGTCAGTCAAAGCGTACTGCAAAATAAGCAGTAGTAGTGGACAGACGGTGAGACAGAATCACTGTTGAGATCAGATGTAATCGGCTTTGGCATCCTCTTAAAGAGACAGCGCCTCTCTCTCTTTCTCTCTCGCATGGAGATTCACTTTCCCTTGTAGCTGAGCGCAGCTTTTAATGAGTGGGCAGGTCGACAGCGCTGGAGGAAAGACTAATAAGGGGCGGGACTATGATAAGATCTTAATGAGGGGGCGGAGCGACGACCTGACAGGTCCAATTTACATTAGCAAGCCAGGTTAAAGCCATGTAAATGACTTCACTTCACAAAGGGAAACCAAATTCAAACTGTCAAATTTGTCATCACAACCTCTGTTGTTGCATAAGTTACAGTAACGTAGCACTGTTAATACATCTTTGTAATTTCATATTACTTAACACAAAACAGCTGCGATAGGTATGCATTTTTCATTTAAAAATAGTTTGTTTTAGGCTATTCATTAAATGAGACTAGTTGAACATTTTCAGATTCTCTAAATTTGGAGAATTTCTAGATTTATTAAGTATTTCGATATAATCTTAATACTGTTTATTTTATAAAGGACAAATAAAAATGTAACAAATAGAAATAAAACATTTAGATCAATTTCATAATCATTTATTTGGGTCCCACTTTATATTAAGTGTTCTTAACTACTATGTACTTACATCATATAAATACAATATTACTTAATTTATTCATAATGTACAGCAGAGCGCTTTCTGTGCTATTGAGTTGGGAAATGGGTGGGATTAGGGGCTGATTTGGTGGTATGGGTTTAAGGGCCCTTTTTTAACAAGGGTGTTATAGACCCTTTTCACAAGACTGTTATGACGCATTTAACAGTTATCAGCATGTTAAATGCTTTAATGTTTTGATAAAAAAAACGTATGAACATATTGATGTATTTATGAATGTATTCTACCATCTTTGCTTCAAATTACAAAAAGTGAATTACTGCTTGTGCAAGGCGTTTCTAATGCAGCATCCATGGGGCTGACAATAAATTTGACGATATTCTCTCTTCTGGCTGCTGTCATCAGTCTCACACTTTTTTCCTTTTTCTGGAAGTCTTGATAACACCTGTTGTACTTCCCCATTCACTGCACAGTGAATTTCCTCAACTATGACGACTTCTGCTGCTGAGAAATGCGGAAATGTGAAAAGCGTCTATTATAAATGTAATAACAGAAACTAATTGCAAATGTATTAACATGCAGGTATTTAATCAATGATAAGTGCAAATTAAAAACCTGTATTTACACAATAGGTACATTGTAACAAATTATTAATTTCAATGCAAGTGCATATAAGTTGAGGCCACTTAATATAAAGTGGGGCCTTTGTTTGCATTATGTATTAGCAAGGACTAAAGCTGTGTCTCATTTCAGAGGCTGCATCCTCTGAAGGATGCATTTAAAGTGCGCTGCGTCATCATGGCGGGACGAAGGCAGTCTCATTTCACAATAATTCGAAGGTTCTTTCAAATACAGCCTCCAAATACGCCCTTCATTTCCCAGGTAATGAAGGACACAACTGTGGATCCTTCAAGGCCTCAAAAGTCCTAGGATTCATTGCGCGCTGATAACGGCAGGATGCTTTTAAAGAAAACTCCGGTTTAAATGTATGAGTTCGGTTTATTTTACTTGGATAGCTAAACACGTTAAAAAAACAATAAGAGTATGACGTCTTACTAAAGAGGGATTTAAAAGACAGTTTACATGTGTTTATATGTGTACATGTATGGATTAAAGGAAATATATTTCCAGCTTCTGTATACCTTGTTTTGCCTTCAGATTGTTTAAAATAAGTTTTAAAAATCACTTTTAAAAAAGTCATTACAAATTTTATCAGCGCTTATTAACAGCTGCTCTTACGGTTGCCTGGTGACTAGATCTGTCCTCTTCAGGCGAAAACGTCTCATTTCAAAATGCTCGGTTTAGCCTGTGAGGACTTCGAAAGACTCACCTTTGAAGTCTGAAATGAGACACAGCTTATTTAATACACAAAACTTGTCACCCATATACTTTGAATAGGAAAAAGTGTAACTGTCAATATGGCGAATGAAGCCCCGCCTTCTAGTACAAGAGAAAATCAGCAATCGCTAAAGAATGACAATTCTCCGGGGAAGGAGCTTAGACCAGACATGAGTTTCTGCAGATTTTGTGTGATATGAACATTTAGAATTGAAACTAAATATACAGTTGTTTAATTTCATTGGTTATTCGTGATATGAAATGCAATCGAAAGTTTCCCAGCAACAGCCCCGGATTCCGCCCTTTTTGGAGTGAAAGAGATCAGCTGTCCAATGGATCTTATTGCTGTCACGATAGCAAGTAGCTGCTTTGTTTTTTATTTATTTATTTAAAAAGTGCATTAAAGCTGAGATACAATCTAAACGCCAATACAACACTTACTATCACAATCATCAGCACTTTTAGTTTATTTTACAGACTAACAAAGGGCACAGAATCACCAAGAGGCGACACTCTAGTGTGATTTGGAAAACAGCCACTAGATGCCGCGACGGCCATTTTGGAATGAAAACTTCAATAAAACAGCAGCATATTATAAGTCTGTAAAATAAACTATTAAAAGAGCTGATGACTGTGATAGTAAGTGTTGTATTATTGTATTCTTAGTGTTGTATAGAACATTCTATTGAGTGTCGCCTCTTGGTCATTCTAAGCTCTTTGCTTATAATATCCTGTTTTTCTATTGGAACTTTCCTTCCAAAATGGCCGCCGCGGCATCTAGTGGCGTAGTTTCCCAAATCGCACTAGAGTGTCGCCTCTTGGTGATTCTATGCTCTTTGGTATTAGTTTGTTTTGAAAAATAGAATTTAATCAGAATAACAATTTTTTTTTTCAGTTGCTGTGGTTGATAATAAGCATTAATTAATGAAATATTGAGTCTGTTAAGGTTTAAACAGTGGTAGGTATTTGATTTGTCGTTGATTGGTAATTCACAGAATAAAACTTAAAATAACTTTATACTCAAACACATAATGACAGTATATTGCCATTTAGACCATAAAATAAACAAAATGTCATTTTAGCAAAAAGTTTTTTTTATTAGTATTTTCAAACATTCATTTTCAAGTTAAGATTGAACAATGCTTTACCTGTTATTAGTCACTGTGCCATATTAAAAGGATAGTTCACCCAAAACTGAAAATTATATCATCATTTACTTGTGTCAAACGTTTATCAGTTTCATTCTTCTGTTAAAAAACATAATAAGATATTCTGAAGAATGCTGAAAGCCTGCATGCATTCTCTTGTATAGTATCTGCTTTCTGTGGAAGTCAATGCTTACAAGTTTTCAGCTTTCTTAAAAAATCTGTGTTCAACAGAAGAAAAAAACTCATAAAAGTTTGGAACTACTTGAGGGAAAGTAAATATTAATCATAATTATCAACAATCATTTTTGGGTGAAATACCCCTTTAAGCAGATTTTCCTGGTAAATACATGTCACGTCACAAGAAATATATCAACTACAGGTCTACAGTACAAGTAAGTGAACAAAACAGTGGCTACCAAAGCAGCATGTTCTGTACAGGCTGTCCTGTCATTAAAAATAAACATAAACCTCTCATTCATTGCAAAGTACTCAGTTTCCTTCCATTTGTAACTTTTTCACATTTTAAGATTTTGTTATGATAAATGTTATGATAACTAATATGTTGCATGTCGTAAAGAACTAATAAAAAATGAAATGTAAAAATTCTTGAAAGTCGGTTTGCTTAATAAAATGCAACATACCAAAAAGTTCTCACTTTTATGGCAATTCGAATAATGTTATTAAAGTAAACCTTGGTCTCATAAAAATCGATGCAAATCTAAGTATGAGAGAAAGACAATGGAGGCGTTAATCTTTTCTGTCTGACTGCTTCAGCTTGTATGAAGACTCATCATCACTCACCTCAGACAGCAGCTCTTAAGGACAATAAGATTACTGAGGAAACCTAAAGAGATAGTTCACCCAAAAATGAAATTACTGTCAATGGTTACCAAAACTCTTGACATAAACATTATACAAAATATCTTCTTTTGTTGTTCAAAGACATTAAGGTATAAACGAGTGTAAGTAAATGACAACAAAATGTTACAATGGTGATCTTTGATTTACAATTTAATCAATGTAAATAACATGTTACACTTACAATCTTTGAAAAAATGCATCATTTTGTTCTTTTGCCAAACAGATACAAATAAAGCACATCTTCAGAAAATGTTCTGTTCAAAGTACCTTGATATACTGCAAGTATCTATACAAAGACAACACATTAAAAGTTACAAGTTGTCTTGTTTTCGTGTAAAGCTAAAACAGATCCTGTTGAAAAAATATCCATAAATGAGCAGTTTTTCGCATTTTGTGGTTCATGATTTCATTTTTCCCTGTTTATTAATGCTTTTGAATTGCATAATGGGACCTTGATCTTTCTTCCAACAACTTTTAACCTTAAACATTTAGAAAAACTGACTTTTATAAACATGAATTATCATGAATTTTCAACATCAAAAGTCGATCAAGGTCCCATAATGCAATTCTCACACACAAACAAAATACAGAAACAGTTCATTACCAGATATTTTTTACAGTGTATATGGAGTACTCTATTTAAATACATGGTTTGAATGTTTTTTTGCATCATCCTATAGGCAATTACAGTACCAACATGCTATTATTAATGACTACGCTTTCTCCAGTCCAGCAGTGTTTCCGTGTCGATGATACTCCAGGCATCAGATAACAGTCTCACCATTTTCCTACAGAAGTTTTGAGAGAGAGGGAAATGATATCATGTTACATATAATACACAAATGCAGAAATGACAAAAACGATTTAAACATTATTCAAAGTAAATATCTTAATAAATAATGTATCGTAATAATGTAGTCAAATCAAGCAAGACATTTTTGCTCAGGTACATACAAGAATGCACGGACACTTTTAGACTTATACTTCATTATGCACTTTGGGAAAAAAGAAAAAAAACAATGGCTCTAAATTGTTTGCACAATCTAAAACTTTCTCCTTTCTCCTTCTCCTTAACCCTTGTGTGCTGTTGGGGACTATTTCATCCACTCTGGAGTGATTTTAAGGGCTCTATTTTGATGATCCATGCACAAAGTCCAAAGCGCAGGGTGCAAACGCATTCAGGGCGTGTCAGAATCCACTTTTGCTATTTTAAGGACGGACAAATCCACCTTGCGCTGTGGCGCATGGTCTGAAAGGGTTGAACTTATTCTCTTAATGAGTTATAGGTGTGTTTTAAGAATAAACCAATCAGAGTCTCATCTCCCAATCCCTTTAAGAGTCAGTTGTGTCGCGCTGCGTGCATTCTGTGGTGCATTCGCAATTTACATGACAGACTTTGTAAGTGGAAAAACTGAGCGCTTCACTACCAATAAAACAGCTAAACAGAGCATCTACAGCGTGAGAATGAGAGATTAGCCTCCTCATTATTTATTTTCACTTTCATTCTGGTGTGTCTGGTGTTCACTTTCACTCAAAGGTGTTGTGCGCACAGACATCCATTAACCTGTACATAATTAATTTAGTTTGTTAAGCTTAAAGATTTGTTTCAAAACTATTTCTAAATATGAGGTGAAATTAAGGAAACACCCATAAACTCTTGCATTCACACTCATACAATACAGCCAATTTAGCTTATTCAATTCACCTATGGTGCATGTATTTGGACTGTGGGGGAAACCGGAACACCATGAGGAAACCTACGCGAACATGGGAGAACATGCAAACTCCACACAGAAATGCCAACTGACCCACTTGAGGCTTAAACCAGCAGCAACCTTTTTGCTGTGAGGTGATCTTTCTACCCACTGCGCCACCCTGAGGCCTTATAAATTCAACTTATTTTTTTAAACAAAAACTGAACCAAAGCAGGCTAACACTTTCTTTAATGTTGTTACACATTCCATGTACTATACTGTATATACTGTACCATAGTATATTACTCCATGTTCTAATAATTATCCATAATTATATGCAGCTAACTTTAAATCTAACCAGCATTCTAACCCTAAAAATATATTATTCATTCATTTATTCATTTTCTTTTCGGCATAGTCCCTTTATTAATCAGGGGCCACCACAGCAGAATGAACCACCAAATTATCTAGCATGTATTTACTCAGCGGATGCCCTTCCAGCCGCAACCCATCTCTGGGAAACATCCACAGACACTCATTCACTACAGACAATTTAGCCTACCCAATTCACCTGTATTGCATGTCTTTGGACTGTGGAAAAAACCTAAAAATATATTAAGTGCATGTAATAATACAAAGCCATTTTTGGACGGTACAGTTTGCCATGACTCTGCTTGCTTCGGTTCAGTTTTACTCGACTGTTTGCATTTCCATTGCAGTTAAGTACCGTTTTATGTGGGTGGGATTATTTGCTATAGTGTGCACTGCCTCTACTGCCATGATGTCCTGAAAACATTTTCATTCCAGGTCTTCTCATCCCACTCTCACAGAATCTGTTTCTCAGCCACCAACAAGAGTAATATCTAAACCTCCTCTACTGACCACAACGTTGCTATTTCAGAGGTTTTTTTTCATTGTGTAATCTAACAACACTTTTTTAACTATTACTATTTAATATATAGTGGAATTAGTGTGTCATGTCGCAAATCTAATGATTCCCTCTGACCAGACAATCATCATCAGTATGTAAACAACACATTTGTTATTGGTACCTCACTCAAGGTTGTACTAGCAGGTACTAGCTGGAACAATGCCATACAATGCAGTGGAAAAGTGGCATAATACAACTCAGTAGTTAAATGAATAGTTACACTGTAACAAGGATACCTTAAAGTCAAACATTTTTATAATGTACTTAAGCTTGATTAAATACCTACTGTACATGCAATTACATCTGTAATTTCTGTAATTACACTGTTGACCAGCCTTTACATCTTTATCCACCCTTAAACCTACCCATATCACTAAACCTGTCCCTAACCGTACACGTATCCCACCTAAGGAGAACACCAGTGTTCTGCATTACATTATGAACACAATATGTACATTGTACTTATATTTTGATGCAAATGCCTTGTAGTTAAGGCCACTTAATATACAGTCCATCCGAAAAGTATTCATAGGGTTTCCTTTTTTTCAAATTGTTTTTGTTCAAAATGGAATAAATTAATTTATTCCCTCAAAATTCCACACACAATACCCCATAATGACGATGTGAAAAAAAGAAATGAAAATGAAATTGTTGCAACTTATATATGCATATATATATACACATACAAGCATATACATACAGTTGAAGTCAGAATTATTAGCCCCCCCTTTGAATTTTGTCTTCTTTTTGAAATATTTCCCAAATGATGTTTAACAGGGCATGGACTTTTTCACAGTATGGCTGATCGTATTTTTTCTTCTGGAGAAAGTCTTATTTGTTTTATTTCGGCTAGAATAAATGCAGTTATTAATTTTTGAAACACTATTTTAAGGACAAAATTATTAGCCCCTTCAAGCTAATTTTTTTTTTCCGACTATCAACAGAATAAACAATAACTTGCCTAATTACTCTCTGCCTAGTTAACCTAGGTAAGCCTTTAAATGTCTCAAAAAATATCTAGTAAAACATTGTTTACTGTCATCATAACAAAGATAAAATAAATCAGTTATTAGAGGTGAGTTATTAAAACTATTATGCATAAAAATGTGTTTGAAAAATCTGCTCTTTTCAAAAACAACACACATTTAAAAGCTTTTTAGCTCAAGATCTTGCACTGATAATAACTATAATCAAATATGCACCATGTGAAAATGCTAGTCTATGCAATATTTTTGCAAACAAAGACCTTGAACACAATAACACTTGGTAAAAGTTAGAAATTTGTTCTGAACGAAGTTCCTCCACAATACAAAATTACTACAGTGTTCTTCTTCCATTGTGTAACCAATCTGCCCACGTACCTCCGGCTGTTCACGAGAGCCTCCAACTCCTTGGATTTGAATGCAGCAGTCCTCAGGATGGACTCTGGGATTTCAGCCAGACGCGCTACATTTAGCCCGTAGCTCCTGGCGGCTGCGCCTTCAATCAGCTGATAGAGAAATGTGATGAACTCTGGCTGAGCCTCCTCCTCTAGAAATGAAAGCAACAGAGATACAGTATTAAACACTTTAAAAAGTAATGATCAGAGCATGTACATGGTAGTTCTGCTGCTTACTGTCCAATAGGAGACCATTCTATTTTGCATTTGCAAAAAAAAACACTTACTTTATGGTTTATACATAGATAAAAGTAGTAAAATATATAAACAATACATTGTTTTGCACATTTATATGCAAAAATAACCAAGGACAAGTGGGTTATGGGTTCATTTATTATAAATCACTTGTGAGATTTTTTAGCTAGTAATTTAATTGGCTAATTAATAAATTTACCAATGTTGGTAAATCAGATTTGGATTATTTTGTATTAGCATTCTACAGGGCTGTTGAATGCTAGATTGTGATTGGTTGAAAAACCAATTGGTTGAAAAACACACTAAGGCAGGGGTGACCAAACTTGGTCCTGGAGGGCCGGTGTCCTGCAAAATTTAGCTCCAACTTGCCTCAACACACCTGCAAGGATGTTTCTAGAAAGCCTAGTAAGAGCTTGATTAGCTAGCCCAGGTGTGTCTGATTGGGGTTGGAGCTAAATTTTGCAGGACACCGCCCCTCCATGACTGAGTTTGGTCACCCCTGCCTTAGTGTGTTTTTCAACCAATTGGTTTTTCAACCAATCACAATCTAGCATTCAACAGCCCTGTAGAATGCTAATATGAAATAATCCAAATCTGATTTACCAACATTGGTAAATTTATTAATTAGCCAATTAAATTTCTAGCTAAAAAATCTCACAAGTGATTTATAATAAATGAACCCATAATTATAGTTTTACACACATTTTTAATCTTGTGCACTGTTCAAATTGACAAACCTTTTGTTATATTAGGAATGAAAACATCCACTGAATTAAACAACTGTAAAAATGCATCAGATAAATATATATATATATATATATATATATATTTTTTTTTTTTTGCTAAATCAGTTAACCACAGTCCTGATCTAAACAAGTTTGTTTGCTAGTTTGAGGTTGGCGCAAGAGTCGTTTTAACGTTTTGCTATTTAAATAGCAAATGCATTTGCGCTCATATGTGCGCCCATAGGCGTTCCAGTCTAAAAAAGGAGGCCTGTTGAGGTGCATTGCTGGCGCATTGCTCTTTTGAGAAACTTTAATAGCCTGTTCTATAGGCCAGATCAAAGCTGGTCTATTGTCCAGCGCAGAGCAGGTTAGTTATGCGCCTCGCTTACACATCGCTCAATACAAACAGGATGTACAGCAATACGCAAACTTCTTTACATATGAAAAAGAATAAAAAATATTAAGGATATATATATATAGGATATAATAAGGATATATATAGGATATAAATATAAAGGATTAAAACATTACAAAACATTATTTTTTAGCCTACATAAATATAAAAACCACTTTCATGCCTTTTTCATCTCCAGGGGCTTTTTCAGCTTATTCGTTAAAATTTGCTTTTGTATAATGTTATTATTATTAGCAGTAATATTTATTATATGCAGATTTATATTTGTTTTATTAAAAACAAGCTTAGATTTGTCCATCTGTCAGGTTTTAGACCATATGGGGCACAGCATGTGCATTTGGATATAACTCAGGTTTTTGAGCACACTTCGTTATTATTGTTCATTTATTCGTTTGCTGGAAATTAGAACTGAATTTAGAAATAGTTTTGAAACCAATCGTTGCACTGAACAAACAAAATTAATTATTTATAGGCTAATGGATGTCTGTGCGTACAAGAAGTTTTCCTATCCACGAGAGTGAAAGCGAAAGTAAACAATGAGGAGGCTCATCTATTACTCTCATGCTGTAGATGCTCTGTTTAACTGTTTTCTCTCCAGTGAAGGGTTCAGTTTTTCCACTTACAAAGTCTGTCAATGTAAATAGCAAATACACTACAGCACGACGCAACTGACTCTTAAAGCGAATGGGAGATGAGACTCTGATTGGTTTATTCTCAAAATACACCTAAAACTCATTAAAAAGAATAAGCTCAACCCTTTTAGACCATGCGCCACGGCACAAAGCGAATTTTTCTATCCTTATATTAGCAAAAGTGGATTCTGACATGCCCTTAATGCGTTTGCGCCCTGCGGTTTGCACTTTGTGTATGGATCATCTAAATAGAGCCTATAGACTCTGTTTTTATTTATTCCATGTAGTTCTGAAAGCTGAGATGCATAATTTTATTTTCACAGACACATCAAGGAAAGTGCGTAAAGGTCACTCTCACACACTTACAGACATACGCACGCTTTAATTTGCTGCTATACCCCATATATCTAAAGGTTTATGGTCCCAACTGATTATCAACAATAAAAAATAACACGTTTTGCTTCTTCCCAACAGGAAGGGCCACTAACAATCAAAAATGCATAGTTACATGGTGTCATGGCTTTGCAATCAAAATTAGATCAAAATTAAATGTAGTTAAAATGGAAGTCATTGGGCAAAAACAGCCACCAACAGTAAATAAGGGAGAAAAAAATGAAAATCAATCAAAAACAATGCATTAAAGGCAATGCTGTTTCACAAGACTTTAATAAAAGGTTTTAAAAAAATTACTTTTTATATTGAAAATATGTTATTTTGTATGTTTGTCACCAAACCTGTTACATCATTTATGAAACTGCCAATTAAAGAGTTAAAATCCTGCCATTTTCTAAAAATAATAGTAGTTTTTATTAGGACTGAGGTTGATTAAATGATTTATGCAAAGAAAATTATTTATCTAATGCATTTTTTAAGAGCAGTTTAATTTAGTTTTCATCCCAAACATAACAAAGGAGGAGTAAATTTAACCTCAACGTGTCGTCAAGTTCTATAAAAATTTCAAAGCATTTTCTGAAAATATGTGTCAAAATCAGATTTGTCTCCGAAAATTGTTCTGCTTACACAAAGGATGTGGCCAAATTAAGACACAAATTCATTCCAGAGCAGATAAAAACATCCCCAACAGTACATAAGAATTAATAGCACCAACCTTCATATTAGTATAATGATTAAGGAAATAGATATGTCTGGAAAAGAGTAATGCATCAATGATGAACATTATAATGCATGAAATGAGTTTTCCCTTATAACTTTTTCAATACATGACAGTTTTTCAGTTTTCATAAAAAAATCAGTTCCTGTGTCATGGTGTGACAGTAATCACAGATTTATTATTAACCTGATTTATGAATATTGTAAGCCATTTCTCCCAATATTTCTCTGAGCTTCTGTCATAGACTTGATTCTCTTTTCAGTATGGCACAGAATATTAAGTGCAGAGAACAAAAAAAGTCAGAAAGAAGAAAGACGTGAACCGTGAGTGAACCAAGTTGAGTTCTGATTTTCAGAAAGTATCTCGGAATGTGGATGTGATTTAAGAACAAATTTTCAGTGCTGGAGAGCCAAATGACAGAACAGCATAGCAAAGAAGACTTATGCAATAAGATTACTGCCATGCACACAAGCCAGTTGTTAAGTAACCACTACCTGGCTCTTGCAACACTGTTTCATGGATTTCAGATATAGCAGAATTTTATATATATATATATATATATATATATATATATATATATATATATATATGTATCACAGAACTGCAGAATGCTTAACTTCAATTGGTCAAAAGCTACTCCAAGGTGCCCATTGGTTTTCTATAGCAGCTGTTTTCATATTTCGTAATCAACTTATACTGTATCATAAGAAGTTACTTCAAAGTTTAAAATAAAAAGAAACTTTATTTCTACCACCTTACAATCCACCATAGAATTAAAAGCAGAAAAAAGAAGCACATTAAAATAGGCACATTAAAGGCGTAGTTCAAACAAAAATTATAGTTTGCTGTTATAATTTACTGACACGATCCAAATAGTTCACTCAGTTTGTTCAAACTGCTTATTTTAAATGAGCTGCAACAACACAATTCTTGGGGCTGGGCATAATGGTTTAATGTTTTAAAACTTAAATTTGTAAAACCTAATAAGTTAAATAATTTTCTTAGGGCCCTATAATACATGCAGTGCAATAAGGCATATGACGTGTTTGGCCTGATTTGTTGCTATTTTCAGACCAGCGCAACTCAAAATTTTCACGTTTTTCACCACGATGTTTAATAGCAAATCCATTTACGCCACTTTGTGGACTTTTGGGTGTGCTGGTCTATAAAGTGGGTGTGTTAAGGTGCATTGTTGCTGCGTTAATATTCTGAGAAACTTAAATAGACTGTGCTATTGACCAAAAAATAAATAAATTAATTTTAAAAAAATGGTCTAAAGTCCACCACAGAGCACATTAGTTATGCACCTATGCAGGTCCAAAATGCTTACACATTGCTTAATACACACAGGATATACACTCATACACAAATATCTTTACATATATAAAAGATTAAAGGTTTAAAATGTTACAAATATATATTTTTTTCTACATAAATATATAAAAACCGCTACCTACATGCTTCAGCAAAAGCATAAAAATGTTTTACATAAACAAACATGTATCAAGCATGGTAAAAGTGTTAGTCTTTTCAAAAATGTATTATTCCTTATTTAAATCATTATCAAAAACTTTTCCTCTGGCTTCTCTTCCAATGCTATCTTCTCCTCAACACTACCACAAACACATGATCTGTTGACCTGTCACTGCCTGAGGTCATACGCAGATTATGAAATACACTACACAGCTGATTACCAAATCAATTGCACACATAAAGACGAGAATGAGGAATATCACTCATATTCTATAGTGACTGATTCAGCCGTTTCCAGTTTCCTGAATATCAAACTTGCATTTGAAAAAGAAATTACAATCTTGTTTGATCACTGTCTATGATGGCCAAATTAAATGTAGGCTTTTTCTTCACATACAGTATTAACATAAATATGTGGCCCTGTACAACACAAGCAGTCATAATAGAACTTCAGATTTATTCATCACACGAAAGTTAAATAAAAAAGCTTCCCACTGATGTATTGTTTGTCAAATTTAAAAAAGGGTGAAAAATCACCTTT